CACAACACAACACAAAACTAGAACAAGCACATGAGGTAGGACATACAAAAACAATGATGTAAGGAACTGATAAAAAAAAAAATAAAAAACATCACATAGTATATGATAGCCATTAAAATATAACATTCTTTTTTTTTTTTTTTTTAAGACACAGAGGTCTCACCTGTGCTCCAGGCTGAGTTCCAATGGGTGGCACATTATAGCCTCCACTAACGTCTCAAAGTTAACTCCTGGGCTCCAAAAGTGATCCTCCCCACCTCAGGGCATACCCCGAAGTAGCTGAAAGACTACAGGCCGTGTCACTTATGCCAGCTTTCTTCTTTTTCTTTTTTTTTTTGACAGAAAAAGCAAGGTGCTGGCTTTATTTTGCCCAGGCTGGTCTTGAATCCACTGGGCACCTTCCCAGGCACAAGCAGTCCTCCCGCCTCAGCCCACAAAGTGGCTGGAATTATAGGTGTTGACGCCAACCACACCACAGGCTTACAACATTCTTATATGAGCATTCTTTATATAACATTCTTAATACACACTCTAATAAACATTCTTTCTTTCTTTGCGACGGAATCCTTGCCTCTGTCACCCAGGCTGGAGTGCAATGGCAGCGATCTTGGGTCCACTGCAAACCTCTGCCCCTCTTGTTCAGCGATTCTCCTGTCTCACAGTATTCTTGAGTAGCTGGCAAATTAACAGGCACCCGCCACCAAAGCGCCCGCGCTAATTTTGTGTAACTTTTTAGTAGAGACGGGGGTTTCACAACTATTGGTCCACGCTGGTCTCTGAAACTCCTGAACGCTCAAGGTGCCATCCACCTGCCTCGCCTCCAAAGGCTGGTACTTCAGCCGTGACCACCGCCATCTGCCTCTTACACACATTATTTAAAATGACAGATTCAGAAAATGAAGAACAGATTCACTGATTTCCGAAAGCGGACGACAGTGGAGAGGTGCTATAAAATGCGCAGCTCCGATGACATGGGTTGGTGATCGGAACTATTCTGTAATCAGTGTAATCTCAATATATTACAATCATACAGTTGTGGACGTTACTCATAGTTTTGGTAGAGCTTCGTAACCATTGGTGGGGAAGGAGTAAAGGCGAGTACACATGATTTCCCTGGTTTTTTGTTTTTTTTAACGAGACAGGGGTCTTGCAATGTTGCCCAGCTGATCTTGAAACCTCCCTGGGCTCTCAAAAGGATTCTCCAAAGTCGGAGATTACAGGCATACAGCCATTGCCCCTGGTTTTTCCTATTCACTATTCCATTACAACTGTTAATGTTGACCTAATAGATTATAACAAATTAAAGTTTAAAACTAAAATACTTTCAGAAATGCACAATAATAGCCACATGTGGAAACAGAGCGGTAATAACGTATTTCTAACAGCAAAACTTTAATATTTTTCCTTCATTACAACTGTATGTGAACCTATAATTATAACAAAATTAAAGTTTAAAACCTAAAATACTTTCAGAAATCAAAATAGGCACATGTGGAAAGAGGGGTAATAAGTTATTTCTAACAGCAAAACTTTAATATTTTTCCATTTTAATTTTTTTGAGACAGAATCTTGCTCTGTTGCCCAGGCTGGAATGCAGTGGCACAATCATGGCTCACTGCAGCCTCAACAACCTCCCAGGCTGAAAGGATCCTTCCCACCTCAGCCTCCTGAGTAGCTGGTACTACAGGCGTGCACCATCCCACTGGACGAATTT